CGTGAGCCACCGCGCCCGGCCAACAGATCACTTTAAATTTTAGAAATCCTTCATATAAATCTAGAAATATTTTCTAATTCCTGACTGAATACAAATAGAAAACAGTTATTTTGTGTTTTTTTTTTTTTTTAATGCACATGGCTGTACTATTAACTCCAAAGGGAGTTGGCAAGTGGTCCTGGGTATGCAAGCTCTCCCTACACACACACACACCAACACATACTACTCAAGATGATAATAGTTTTTAAATTTAAACACTACATTCTCCTTTATTATAAAATTATTCCATATAGAACCCAACTTCTGCTTTTGTTCTGTTTAGAACCACGTTAAGTGCAAAAGTGAACATGAGCAGGTGATAATATGCTCAGCTGCTGAGCTCATAAAAGCACTGTCAGGGAGAGGTATAGCTTCTGAAAATTTTCCTTGTATAGGGGAAAATCCAAGCTAGAAAGTGGCAAAGTGTCAAAAGGCCTATTTTTTGATGAGTCCTGCTGTGTATCCATTGTTGAGAATCAATTCACCAAACCACTTGTCTTTTATTTGTAAGCAAATAAAGGTCTGTTTCTCTTTTGCATATAATTTATTTTTTATGGTTAGTATATTACTATATACACAGGGATAAAAGGACAATCTTTGCCCATGGAACAAGAACCATGTCTAATTCCCTCTTCTTTGTAGTACTTTCTACTATTGCTGATATTTTCAATAACAATGAAAGCATCCCACTACTTAATTACTCCACCAATAAAACAGACACACAAAAAACTTGATTATTCAGTTTTATGCCACACAAAGAAGACTGTATATTTTGCCACAAATAATACCAACAAAGAAAAAGCATTACTTAAGAAAACTTTATGTCCCCTCTGGATGGAAAGGCTTGCTTACCAGGTTCATTTCCTGAGTCAATTCAGAAAGGATTATTACTCCTATTACGCAGTGTTCCACAGTTCCCTTTAGAGAAAATAACCAAGTTTAGCCTATGTGGAGACAAGTGACTGGTTCTTATTGTGCAAACCAGGTTAATATTTGCAAATATTTAAATACTAAAATATCACACTTACTTAAGAATATAACTTTTAAAATATAAGGAAAAATCACTATGAGTTCTACATATAAGAATTTCAAGCTCATTTTTTGAAGGATAAATTTGGGTACAGAGATTGGGAAAAAAGCTCACCAAATAAAGAAATAATGAACCATCCATCCATTAATCAAAACCACTAATTTTTCCTTAGGAATTGTAACAGATCACTGTCTCTTCACCTGGACACCAGCTAAAGTAGTTTCCTTGCAATTAGGGATTATGTTTATGTGAAAAAAATATATACCTTTAAAAATCTGAATCATACTGAGCAAGGCATAATGGTCATCCTAAGTCAGAAGCATATAGGAATCAAGAGCAGATTTAGGTTTCCCTAAATCATCCATCCCAGGACAAAGGAATCATTGGCAGAATTTAGTGTACTCTTGCTTTTGTTTATTTCATCTTCTCTGTTTTTTTGCAGTCCAAATACCTGAACTCGTGTGAGTTAAATTATCTGTTTTAATCACTTAGGTTTAAAACATTCTTTTTGTTTTTAAATAACCACTTTGTTATTGATGTATAATAGATGTAAATGTTTGATACACAATGTGTAATGATCAAATCAAAACCATTCTTGAGAAACTGATATTGTCAATGTAATATAACGTAAAAATTAAAAAATTATCATAAGTTAGAAGACTTTTTGAAGTGCCAGCTCTATTGCTTTACTAGGTCACTGTGTGACTTTATGGAAATTATTTAACGTTTCTAAGCCTCAGTTTTCTCATTTACAAAATGAAATCCTTTTCACAGGGTTGTAAAAACATTAAGTTACATAATATATGTACAGCATTATATATATGTTTTGTATAAATGCAGTATACAGACGTGTCATAAATGAAAGAACATACATTTCTGAAATTAGAAAAAGATTTTTTGCATTCTTCTGGTTTGGAATTTATATAACAGCATAATCCTCACTTACTGGCAGTAAATGATGAAGGACCCAGAGGATAAATAATAAATCATAATTAATATGGTACTGGTAGACTCAAAACAAAAGATACAGCTTGAAGAAAAACAGTGTCCTAAACCAAAAGAAGCAAGTGGCAATGTACGTTTTAATAATGTAATGATGTCTTCTTACCTGAAGAAACTTCTTCACATCAGCAATAATTTCTCGAAAGACAAACTGGTCTTTCTGAATCTCAAACCACCCCAATTTAGTGATTTTGGCAATGACTTGAATAAGAGCTTGGATGACAAAGGGAGCAAGCTTGGGTTGTGATGCCACGTAATTCAGAATGTAGTTTCCTATAAAGAAAATAGTCTGTGATCATTTGGACTTTTCAGAAACATAATGTGAATTCTGTGAAGAAAAAAAGGAGGCAAAGACATGCTCTTTGACAAAAAGTTAAACCCCTTTGCTCAAGACATACACTTATTTATATATTCAGTTCTTTTATAAGGCTTATTTGAAAAAGCAAATTTGTTTCAATGCATTTGACATATTAGGGAATAATATAATAATTTTGTTGAGTATGTCACTTTTGTTTCTACATGATTTTATCTACAAAAAATGTTAGGTGAATGCAGAAAACTGCAAGTAGGCCAAATGAACCAGACTATACACAAGATGCATACACCTCAAACATCTAATCTGTGTTATCAGCCACAGTCATCCTTATCCGGTATTATAATTTTCCATCCTATTTCAGATAACCTTCCTTTCACGACTTCATAACAACTCACAAGCTGCAATGCTTCTGAAGCCCACTTCAACAAACTTAAGGTCTTTTTCAAGATAAAGTGCTATATTTATCGCACTATGCATGTATTTTTTAACCATTTAACATGTGCAAAACTCTACTGTTCTATTATTTTTATTAGATTTCTATCTTTTTAAAAATGTGTCACTGACAAAGTTTTTGAATTTTATTTCCATAATCTCATTTCTCTCATAAGCCCTGTGGTTTTTACTGTGTAGCATCACACAGCACAGTCACTTTTAAGAACACAAATGTTATGGCAAAATTGACTGTACACTCTCCTGTTTAAGTGGCATCAAAAAAACAAATAGTACGATATGATAAAACAAGTATATTAATTAAAGAAAGTGGGGATAGAATAGTAAAGTAAATCCTGGAACAAAGTTAATATACAAAAACTGTAAAAGTGGGAAACAAATTCAATTATGAGGCCTCCTAGTTGAATAATTGAGGTCAGGTAACAAATACACCAAAAAGTCTATCAGAAAAATACAAGAAGAATTTTTAAAAGGGAAAGGATTCCATTTCTATTTTGGCTCCAAAGCTCAACATGCTATTTTGGAAAAGAGTAAAGAAAAGGTAAATACAAAAACATACACTGGGGAAAAGAATCTCTTTTCAATAAATGGTGCTGGGAAAACTGGATAGCTACATGCAGAAGACTGAAACTAGACCCCCACCTCTCACCTCTCACAAAAATCAATTCAAGATGGATAACAG